CCCGGCCGCCCGCCGGCCGCCGCCTGCCGGGGGCTCTTCTGCCCCGCCATGCCGCCGTGGGGGGCCGCTCTCATTTTGCTCCTGGCGGCGCTCGCCCTGCTCTTCCTGCTGGTCCTGCGGCTCAGGCGCCCCCGGAGCCGCGCCGTCGGAGCGAAGACCCTGCCCCAAACCCCGGGCCAGGATCACGAGGAGGAGGTGGATGGCCGAGGCCTGACGGATCAGTTCAGCGACGGGCAGGAGCCGCTGCCCGGAGGGTGTAGCCTCATCTGTAAGCCGTCGGCGCTGGCCCAGTGTCTGCTGCGCGCCCTGCGGCGCTCGGCGGCGCTGGAGCCCGGCCCGCGCTCCTGGTTCTCCGGTCCCCACCTGCAGACCCTCTGCCACTTCATCCTGCCCGTCGGGCCCGGGCCTGAGCTGGCCAGGGAGTACCTGCAGTTGGCGGACGATGGGCTGGTAGCCCTGGACTGGGTCGTAGGACCCTGCACCCGTGGCCGCCGGGTCACCAACTCCGGGGGGCTTCCAGCCGTGCTGCTGGTGATCCCCAATGCGTGGGGGCGCCTCACCCGCAACGTGCTGGGCCTCTGCCTGCTCGCCCTAGAGCGCGGGTACTACCCCGTCATCTTCCACCGCCGCGGCCACCACGGCTGCCCGCTCGTCAGCCCCCGGCTGCAGGCTTTTGGGGACCCATCTGATCTCAAGGAGGCTGTCACTTACATCCGCTTCCGACACCCGGCGGCCCCCCTGTTCGCGGTGAGCGAGGGCTCGGGCTCTGCACTGCTGCTGTCCTACCTGGGCGAGTGTGGCTCCTCCAGCTACGTGACAGGAGCTGCCTGTATCTCGCCGGTGCTGCGCTGCCGAGAGTGGTTCGAGGCCGGCCTGCCCTGGGCCTATGAGCGCGGCTTCCTGCTGCACCAGAAAATCGCCCTCAGCAGGTGGGTACCAGGCAGGAGACAGCAGGGAGGGGAAAGGCAGGTCTTGAGCTGGCAGGGAAACAGCTTTGTCTGGTATGGCAACGAGTCCTTGTGAGCCAGTTTGGGCAAAGTTCTCGAACATTTCCAAAGCTGCTCAAAACCCATAGAAGCCAGGCAGCAGGATTCGAAGTCCTAGATGGCCTCAGCATCCCTGTGATACGGCTGGGGCCCCACAGACTCATCTCAGTCCCAGGTGTCCTAGCAACTTGAGCACTTAACCCTCTGGCCTGCCGCAGAAGCACACCTGACATTTACCACTTAGTCCATGGAGTGCCAGGTCAGCAAAGAGGCTTCTGGAAGCAATTGCAGTCCATTATCTGTCCAGAATGTTTACTTACAGTCTCAGAGCCAGGAGGTGACAGTAATCAGAACTGTGACTGCATTTATTAAAATTCTTTAGACTTGCCAGGGGGTGGGTGGCTCACACTTGTAATCCTAGCTACTCAGTAGGCTGAGATATGAGGATGGTGTTCAGAGCCAGCTGCCTGCAGAAAGGAGAGTCTATGAGAATGTAATTTCTCCTATTAACTACCAAAAAAGCCAGAAGTAGAGCTTAGGTTCAAGTGGTAGAGCACTAGCTTTGAGTAAGAAAAACAAAGCTTGGGGACAGCACCCGAGTTCAAGCTACACACACACACACACACACACACACACACGACAAAAGTTTTACATATTCCTAAGTATATGCTCAACATTTAAATAAAATTTAAATATTTAAACCTTTTTATTTTTAATCTAAGAGAAGAATAATTCACCACCAGGTGACAGGCAGGGCTTTTACTACAGAGAAGGCCTGAATGACAATGCTAGTCTTTCATAGACAGTAGAATGTAGTCCAAGGTATTATGGCAACAGTATGGTGTAGCAAAAATACCTAGAACATGGAATCAGACCTGTTTGGGTTCAAATCCTGCTTGTATTTCCAGCAAGTTAGCAAACCCCTTTAAGATTCACTTCCTCCTTCAGATAAATGGAGTTAATAATAACCACCTCCACTAAAGGGGTTACAATAATTAAATGAAAGAAATTAAAGCAAAGGCTTGCATTGACCACAAATGGTGGCAATTGTGATTCTCTTTCCTTGCCCCATTTTATCTGTGTTAAGAAGGTCAAACCCTGAACCGAACAACAGCCGAGAGTGCTGCCATGGTAACCCAAAGGGCTTGCGCAGTCCAGAGGAAAAGAGCTCTTGTCCTGCTTAATTGCCATAGTTTCCAACTCCAAAATGACCACCACCAGTGCTGACCTTGGGCACCAGCTGGGTAAAGTGATAGAAGTGGAGAAGAAACCTATGCCTTTAGGAACTGCCTTTCCCATGGAAGTCTGAGATAGAAAACTTGTAGCAAGCATCTTGTAGTGTTTCAGGAGACATACCTAAATTCATCTTGCCAAGGCTAGATTAATCTACCCCCAGGACTGGGCTACCCACTCTGGCCTTAATAGGGTACTATGCTCTCTCCGGTTGGAAATAGCAGTTGCCCCCCTTCCCCAACAAAATACTCTATTTTGGGAACTATCCAGCAAATGAATTCCACTCCATATTCTCTATCCTTCTCCAGGAAAACCTGCTGCAGGTGCACCTGATCAAGGTCACATCAGGAGAGCATCATCAGGAAAGCATATAGAGCACACAAATAAAAACAACCAATGTGGTAAAAATGTGATTGTGGGAAGAGTGTCACTTGGTGGTTTGGATACTCTGAGCCAGGAGGTGACAATTCTTAACAAGTTTTCTGGAGAGGGGTAGAAGTTGAGATTAGGAGGAGCACTGTCCTTGTAGTTGAGCAACTTGAAAATCAAATTTTGCCCATAGGCCTTTGTTGTCGGTGGTGGTGGTCATGGGGCTCTTCAGCTCAAAGCCAGTGCTCTACCACTTTGAGCCACAGCGCCACTTCCAGTTTCCTGGTGGTTAACTGGAGATAAGAATCTCATGGACCAGCCAGGGCTGGTTTTGAACTATGATCCTCACATTTCAGCCTCCTCAGTAACTAGTATTACAGGTGTGAGCCACTGTTGCCTGGCTTTGATGGATATTTGGACACAGCAAGGAATGCTACCTTTTTAGCCAGATCTTCCCATTTCCCTAAAAAGGCCGAATCTTTGTTTTTGTTTGTTTGTTTTTTGTTGTTTTTAAATCTGATTTTAACTGATGCCCACAAAATTTAAATTTTTGAAGATGCTATTTAGCCATGAAACCTCTATGGCCTGAACCTGGCTTAGAGGCTACTCCCCTGCAACTCTTGCTGTCAATTGGTGCTCTGATTCTTCTCTCTCCTGCTTTCCCATTCAACTTGCTGCCAGGTATGCCACAGCCTTGGAGAATACAGTGGATACCAGCAAGCTGTTTAGGAGCTGCTCCCTTCGTGAGTTTGAGGAGACCCTCTTCTGCCACACCAAGACTTTCCCCATCAGCTGGGATACCTATTGGGATCGAAATGACCCCCTACGGGATGTGGATGAGGCAGCTGTTCCTGTTCTGTGCATCTGCAGCACTGATGACCCCATATGCGGGCCCCCTGACCGCACACTGCCTGCTGAACTCTTCCAAAGCAACCCTTATTTCTTCCTGCTACTCAGTCACCGGGGAGGCCATTGTGGCTTCCTGCGCCAGGAGCCCTTGCCAGCTTGGAGCCACGAGGTTATCTTGGAGTCCTTTCGGGCCTTGACTGATTTCTTCCGAATGGAAGAGAGGATGAAAGGACTAAGCAGGCGTCGAACTTCATTCCTAGGAAGCCGACGTCGTTGGGGAATGCTGCAGAAGCGAGAGGTCTCTTCCTCTTCCAATCTAGAGATCTTTAGCTGGAAGCGATCATACACAAGGTGAAGCGTGCTTGGAGAAGGCCACACTCTGTCAAGGAAGAACAGAGTTGGGCACAGCAGAATAAAAAAGATGGTGAGGACTTGGGGCTGAAAGTGTGGCTCAGGTGGTAGAGGGTCTGCCTAGCAAGTACAAAGCCCTCAAAAAACCACCAAAGAAAAATAAACACAAAAAACACCAAAAGAAAAATAAACAGGTACATTATTAAAAAAAAAAAAAAAGCTGGGCACTAGTGGCTCACGACTGTAATTCTAGCTACTCAGGAGATTGAGATCTGAGGATCTTGGATCAAAGCCAGCCCAGGCAGGAAAGTCCAGGAGACTCTTATCTTCAATAAACCTCTCAGAAAACTGGAAGTGGCGATGTGGCTCAAGTGGTAGAGCACTCTCCTTTGCTGAAGAGCTGAGGGACCAGGCCCAGAGTTTAAGCCCCATGACCAAAAAAACCCAAAACAAACAAACAAAAAACAACCAAACAAACAAATAGCAAGGACTCTATGGGGAGTAGAGCTCAAGCTTTTTGTTTCTAAATCTGTCCTATCCATCTTAAATTGGTCTCTAGCAGGAAATGGAACTTCTACTCACTATCCAGAGCAGAAATCCTGTCCAAGCTCTGTGAAACACATTCCCACTCATCCTGGTCAGCCCATCACCGTGTTTTTTTGTTTTTTTTTTTTTTTCTTTTTCCTTTGCCAGTCCTGGAGCTTGAACTCAGGACTTGGGCACTGTCCCTGAGCTTCTTTTGCAAAGGGTAGCACTCTACCACTTGAGCCACAGCGTCACTTCTGGCCTTTTCTGTTTATGTGGTACTGAGGAATCAAACCCAGAACTTCATGCATGCTAGGCAAGCACTTTACCACTAAGCCACATTCCCAGCCCGGTCACCATCTTCTTAAAATAAGGAATAGCACCTTTTAAGTTCATAAACTTGAGAGAAAAATGCTTCTCTCCCAGTTGTGACTACAGGGATGATGAGTTTGTGTGTGTGTGTCACTGGGTGGCCCTGTTCCACATAAATAAATAATCATCTTGGTGACTCTGAATCTCAAGCTGGAGCCACTTGATGTAGAAAGGACAGGATGTTTGTGTCTCAGTCCCACTTCCCTCATTTGCTCTGTGGTTGTGGCTCTGCTCTGACTTAGCGCATCAGCAGCTGTGGAAGCCAGCTCCCAGAGTTGCTGGCTTTTTCAGCAGCCTGAGAAGGCAGCAGACAGGAAGTGCTGTGCTAAGACCAGCTTGAAGAGAGCTGACACGGGTGAGAATAGGCCTGACCTGGGTCTCCAGCCTACCCCAAGTCCCCTGAAATGATCCCAAGGGTATTTCAGGAATAGGAAAAGCTCTTGCACAGAATCTACCAGCAGTGGGGAAACCTTTCTCTTGCCAAGGGTCATTTGGATAACATCATTTGTAGGCCATACCACACAAAAGTATCAATGTAGGCAGATGGCTATGGGAAGCAGACATGAAATGTATCTGTCTATTCCATCATGTACCAAGTGATTTAGCAGGCTTTATTCATCTTGTAGGCTGGATGTTCCCCATTGCCAAAGGGCTCTGCTGGAACATGGCTTAGGGTGTCAGATTCCCAGGGACCTTACATGCTTCTCTCCCTCTAGTTGTAATTTGGGGGATTCCTTCAGACAGCCCCAGCCAGAGTTGATTTTTCTCCTGAGATTTAGGCTTTATTGAAGTGAGTAATCAGTACAAACCTTGTAACAGAATTTGTTTAGTTACTCCCTTTTTTTGATGCTACTAGCACCTCCCTTTCCAGAGAGAGCTGAGAGAGACATCTGGGACCAAAGGAAATAAAAGCCCCAAGAGGTTGACTGGAACTGTGTGATTTATGAATGTCTCATATTACGATGCTTTGTCTGAATTATTCAAAAGCCCATCCATGCAAAGGCAGAAAAGCTTCTCTTGGGATCTGACTACTCAGACACCAAATGAGTATTTGGCTTTATGAGGAATAATACTGAATACCAAAGTAAAAAAAGACTAGTATACAGACTGCTCCACATAACCTGTTTGGATTAGATCATTAAAATTGTTTTTGACATCAGAACTGATTCCATGTGCTGTGAAAATTCATAATCTTTGTCCTGTAATGTGTGAGTGTGTGTGTGTGTGTGTGTGTGTGTGTGTAATTTCATAATGCTTGGGATTGAACCTAGGGCCTCCCACGTTAGGTAAGTGCTGTACCTTGAGCTACACTCTAGCCCAGAAAATTTTAATTCATCAATGGGAAAGAGGGCATCTGCCTTGACCTCACAAAGAACAAAACAATTTTAAAGTGATGCTTATACCAAAGCCCCATGCCAAAGCTTAGTCGAAGGTATTCCTGAGGTCATATAATCAGATTTGGATAATCTTGTCCCATTCTGTCCTGTTCTTTTAGATCAAATTTAAAAAAAAAGCCCTCTGAACTAACTCCAAGAATATAAAGAACATGAACTGAAACACAGACAGCACTTGATTGTATAAAGACATTGTTGGGGTTGGGAATGTGGCTTAGTGATAAAGTGCTTGCCTAGCGTGCATGAAACCTTGGGTTCAATTCCTTAATACCACATAAACAGAAAAAGCCAGAAGTGGCGCTGTAGCTCAAGTAGAGTGCTTGCCAAAGAAGCTGAAGAAGCTCAGGGACAGTGCCCAGGTTCTGAGTTCAAGCCCCAGGACTACCCAAAAGAATAAAAATAAAAAAAAGACACCATTGTCTTGTGATTATCTCCCTCCTTTCCCTTCTTGCTCCTCTTCTTCCATATTCCTCTTCTAATATTCTTTCACCATTTGTGAACAGGAGAAATAAAGAGGAATTGAAATATAAAGAAACCATTCTATTGTTAGTGAACCACAGCCTTGAAGTAGGCTTGGTAAGGGAGAATCACTGACATCTGGCCACCATCCCCTGCCCAACATCTGGGATAGTAGGGATTTCAGTTAATTAGAGTCTTATAGTCCCACATGCCTTTGAACCATTCAAAACTGACTGCAAAATGAGAAGCAACCCAGAAGTTTTTAAACCCTAAGGCTTAAAGGGTCCCTAATGGCAAATATCTTTTTCTTTCTTTTTTCTTTTATTTTTTTAATATACCACAGGGCCCTGTTGTTCAAGAGATTTCCTTTCCATTTTATTTTTTATGAGGGGAAAAAAAAAAGCTTGGTAGGGAGGGAAATATACATGTTTTTCAGGTTTTTTTTTTCTTTTTCTTTTTTGGTAGTGGTGTTGGCAACTGAATGGAGGGGAGGGTCTTGGCCTTACTAGGCAAGTACTTTTTTTAATGACAGTCACGGGGCTTGAACTCAGGGCTTAGGCACTGTCCCTGTCCCTAAGCTTTTTTTGTGCTCAAGGCTAGCACTCTACCACTTTCAGTCACAGCTCCACTTCCTGATTTTTGGTGGTTAATTGGAGATAAATCTCATGGACTTTGCTGCCCAACCTGGCTTTGAACCTCGATCCTCAGATCTCAGCCTCCTGAGTAGCTAGGATTACAGGTATGAGCCACCAGCGCCCAGCTTTAGGCATGTACTTTTACTATTAAACTTCACCCCTGATCCTGCAATTTGTCTTTTTTTATTTTTCCCGGGGCGGGGGAGGGGATGTGCTGATATTAGGATTTGACTAGGGCCTGGGTACTAAGTATCTCTTAGCTTTTTCTGTTCAAGTGAGACACTTGAACAGAAACTTTTTTTTTTTTGTCAGTCGTGGGGCTTGAACTCTGAGCCTAGGTGCTGTCCCTGAGCTCTTCAGCTCAAGGCAAGCACTCTACCACTTGAGCCACAGTGCCACTTTGAGCTTTCTGGTGGTTAATTAGAGATAAAGAGCCTTTCCTGCCTGGGCTGGCTCTGAACTGTGATCCTAAGATCTCAGCTTCCTGAGTAGCTAGGATTACAGGCGTGAACCACTGATGCCCAGCCATTTCTGTGTTGTTGTTGTTGTTTTGCAAATTAATTGGAGGTAAGAGTTTCAAGGACTTTCCTTCCTGGACTAGCTTTGAACCAAGATCTTCAGATCTCAGACTCTTCAGGAGCTAGGATTACAGGCTTGTTTTGGGGAATGACAGAACAGCCCTAGTTCAAGTTCCAATAATCCCTTTGGACCTTGAGCCCTTAAGCCTTAAAACATTTCTTCTCTGTGCCCCTTATAGAAAGTATGCTCATGGCTATCTTGGGGAGTTATTTCTTTTTTTATTGCAAATATTGGGGATTGAACTCAGGGTTTGGGTATTGTTCCTGAGCTTTTATGCTCAAGGCTAGCTAGCACTCTACCTCTTGAGCCACAGGCTCCATTTCCAGCTTTCTGGTGGTTAATTGGAGATAAGTCTCATAACTTCCCTACCCCAGCTGGCTTTGAACCACAGTTGTCAGATCTCAGTCACCTGAGTAGCTAGGATTACAGCTGTTAGCCAAAAGTGCCCACCAGGGGAGCTATTTCTTATTTGTCATTACTGCTCAGACAAGGGGGCTAAGCAGCTCATTTTTGTCATGAAACCATAATTTCTGTTCAAGTGGGAAGGGTTTAACACTTCCTTTTTTTTGGGTCCGGTTGTGGGGCCTGAACTCTGGGCCTGGGTGCTGTCCCTCAGCTCTTCAGCTCAAGGCTAGTGCTCTACCACTTGAGCCACAGCGCCACTTCCGGATTTTTTTCCTCTTTGCTTATGTGGTGCTGAGGAATTGAATCCAGGGCCTCAGGCATGCAAGGCAAGCACTCTACCACTGAGCCACCTTCCCAGCCCCCTTGACACTTTCTTTTAGTCAGACTGGTACTGTTTTGGTAAATAGCTAATCAGGTGAAACCACATAGTGAAGATTCAGGCACCCACCAGAGAAGATGGTCCCTTGAACAAAACAGAAAGCTCTGAGTTTGAGGAAGCAAGACAAGAAGACAAACTCGTAGGTGGCACTGAGGGTGGATCTTTAGTGAGGAGTCTTTCAGATCTCTTGCTGGCATTCCTTTTGATCTCTTCATTTAGAAACACCTTCAAATATTAAAGGAAGGGAAAAAAAGCAAAAACTCAGTGAGTAAAGGGGGACATTGTCTCAGGCATAGAGACTGAGCCCTGTTTCTTCCTCGGGTTCAGGAGCAACAAATGCCTAT